TTTTTGAATCCATGGTCACCATGCCTGGCCCACACATGACTACAGTTCATACAGCTCTAGCTGAGAAGTCCTTCAAGGGTGTTGCCCTGCGTGAGAATGGCAGGCTTGTACAGATTCATGCAGGTCAGTTTTTCCGCAGTATGGTAGAGAATCTGAGACACAGAATGACTTCCACAACCTCCTCTCATGTCAGCACAAGAGAAATCCCATTACATGGCCGGGAGGCCCGGGACAATCAGCTAATCCAGGACATGAAAGTTATCCATCCTGGAAGTTGGCCTGAAGGGGAGTTAGACGTACAGTATGGGGACGTAGAGGTGCTACGTTTGTGCGAAGTGCTGAAAGTGGACAGAAGAGAGACTGTTCAGGGCTTTCGCGAATACAAGGAAACCAGGGCATCCCGTACACCTGCTGCCATGGAGCCTCTACTGAAAGCAGTCCGAACCATCGCTGTCTCCACTAGTGAGTGTGAGCGGGAATTCAGCTGCATGAACGATATCCTTACTGCAAAAAGGAATGCTCTCTCTGTCAGCCGACTGTCCAGCCTGGTTTTCATTAAATGTAATGGACCATCACTAGGACAGTTCAATCCGGAACAGTATGTGAGGTCCTGGCTGGCAAAGGGAAGGAGAAGTGCTGATGAAAGAGCCTGTCCAGCTCCAGCCCCTGATACTGATGTCCCCAAGGGCCTTCTGGAGCCTTTTCTAACAATGTGAAGTATATTGCAAAGCAGCTCACCCAGTGAGAAGACTTTTGGCATAATGTGCCGATTTGTACAGATCCTGGAGATAGAAGGACTTCAGACCAACCAGGGAGTTATCTGATCAGCTTGGTGTTCAATGTAACTCTTTACCATGGCTCAGACTTTGTTACTTGCAGTTACAGTTTCTCATTTTAGATTGTGCACATTTTGCATTTGTTTTTACATGTTCTTTGTTCATGCTCTTTATCATTTTTCTGAGTTGGAAAGTTAGATTGCATCATAGTTTACTTTATACATATTTGTATTCTTCAGTGGTGAAGTATATTGCAAAGCAGCTCAGCCATGTGAGAAGACTTTTGGCACTTTTTCGTTTTTCGTTTTCTGAGTTGGAAAGTTAGATTGCATTCAAAATGTACAGAAATACTTAATTTTGTTAAAGCTTTTTATAAAAAATGCTTCTGACCAGAGCTTTGTTTCCTTGTCATTAATGTTGAACACCACCAGAGGGGCTCTCACCTGAAAGGTCTCTGCTTCATGTGTCTTCAGCAGAAGATCTAGACTTTGATTGCTATATTTTCAGTTAATATTGACCTTACTGAGCTTTAGCCATATCCGCTGCCTATCATAAAAAATGTTAAGTACAGTGAACCTTTCTAAAATATACAGTAGTAAAGAGACAAACCCACCAGCATTATAGTAGCCAAATTCTTGTTTGTGGGCTGTATATATAAAATTGACTTGAAAAAGTTGCTGATTTTAGAGTACTGGCACCTTTTTCATTCCAATTCAAGCACTGTGTAAACGTTCCCTAAATCTACTAATTTAGGGATAATCCACTGACATACTTTAACACACATGTTAATTTGAATCAGATGTACTGATAATATCCGCAATATAAATCTTTAAACTTCTTCTTACCTTTAAAAGTCCGTCACGAACGGTTATTATGCTGCAACTCTACCGCTCTGCTAGCCTTGGCGCTAACTTCCGGGGAACGAATGAGAGGCTCCACGATCCGCCATTGCTGTAAAAAAGTGGTCCATTGGAGTGAACGGAGATGTCATAACTCTTCTATTATACGGCTCTGCTTGGAACGTATCTAGATATCCCTGCCCTAATGACAAAGTAACTGGTAACTGAATATGTGTCGCCGTTTGATGTCTATGTCTGGAACGCTGCGTAAAAAGGAGGGTTTCTGCCCCGTTACTTCTGCGCTGTTTTTCATGTCCCAGTTTCGGCCCAACTGTATACAGTTACATCGACCGGACTTCTTTCTGAAGATGTGAGCGTCCTTAACAACGGTCAATAAGTCCTTGACAGCGGTCTGTCTGTTCGGTATTAACAACGTGTCACGTGTTCTGAATTGACCAATCAGAATCGAGTATTCAACTAAGCCATGTAATAATGGGATTGATGTAACAGTAAGACAGAGAATGTAAGTGTGCACCCACATGCACTGTTTTTGTTTTTATAATGCTGTTGTAAATGTTGTCTGCTGTGTTCAGACTATGGTTCAGACTCAAGTCATTTTAGTAATGCCACATTCAGGACGTCCTTTTTTTAACAGAAGACCGTAGCTAGAAGCTGCAGCTAGACTGCAGAAGCATTCGTTTTTTGTTTTTGAGGATGGAACAATTTCACACACAGATATAGGGAGGCTAGACCTAAACAATTGATTTATTATGGTTTATAATTGAATGTCAAGACGAAGAAGAAAAGATGGCTGAACTGTTCAGTGTCAATCAGTGCTTAAGTCTCAGCAAAACTCACAACATTTCTGGAGCCTTGTAGAAAACTATAAGAACATTCACCAAGCAGCACTGAACATTTCTGCTTTATTTGGTTCTGTTCTACATACTTTTGGGAAGCAGCTTTTTCTGACATGAATGTCATGAAATCTAAATACAGAACAAGACTGACTGAGGAACATTTAAATGACTAATAGCGGGAACCTAAGTGGGTCCAGCATACACCTGTCTGGTGGACTCCATGCAGAGCCAGTCCTCTCACTAACTGTAAAAAAAAGAGTGAATGCACTTATTTTACACATATGCCATGATGCTTGTAAGGCGGTGATTAAGGCGATGTATTTACTATGTGGGCCATAATAAGAAGTGAAAACATTTTTTTCTTTTTCTCTTGGACATTTATGTGAATTTTCAGTGAAGTACTTATTATGTGGGTCATAATAATATGTGAGAAATTGTCGTTTTCTTGGACTTTGATGTGAAATTAAGATTGTTGATAAGCTTTGGGTATTGCAATTTTACACGTGTACAAAAGTAGCTTAATTCAACTGATGAGTGCTATGTGAATAAATGTAAGCGATGTGATGCAAGTAGCTCTTGGCCACTTTCATTTAGCTCTTTAAGAGAAAAGGTTGGAGACCCCTAGTGTAGACTAACCAATTGAGATTTGTTTGCAAATTACGTATGTCAATTAAATCTCCCTACTTTGTATGTAATTTGTATTTATGTCATATATTATTTGTATGATTAGATGTAGGTCTACATATATAATAATAATAATAAAGCATTTTATTTATATAGCGCTTTTCACAACTCAAAGACGCTTTACAGTACGAGTGAGGGTAGACAAATAAAGACAGGCAAACAAGTAAGTAGCCTATTGTAAAATAAAAAATAAATAAAAAGGCAGTCAAGAGGAAGTTGATTGAGAGGGGGGGGGGGGCTTAGACAGAGTTGAAAATATGTGTTTTGAGGCGGGACTGAAAGACTGTGTGGGACTCAGGCCCCGGCCACACGAGGACGAAAACGGTCGTTTGCGTTACCGTTTTGTGTCATATAGACCGTTCGGCCACACGAGGATGACCGAATATGGCACTTAACGACTGCGGAAACGATAACGGGTCCCAAGGTGGATAGAACGGCATACGCAACGCTCTGGGGGGTCCAACGGCTGCGTGTGTACGCCCTATATGATCATTTTCTGATAATGATGAGGCAATAGCCCCGCCTCTCCCCACCTCTGCTGCTCACCCCCGCGTCAAAGTAAACTGCACACTGAATTCAGATTATTTATCTTTCTCTCGTCTTGGGCAGCCAATGACGTCAGGGCTACTGCTTAGCTTATTTAGGCCTACATATTACACGCACAGTTGAAAACACTCACAGGCAGATTAATGAGCAGACAGAAACAGCAACCATATCAACTAGTTATAAATATGTTTATTTTTACTGTCGGCCGGGTCACTCATTACTGGATCAGCTGCTGCATGAGACAGACACTGACGCTGTCAGAAGAGAGGGAGGAAAAAGAGAGGCTCCGTGTATTTTATTATTATATTATATAGAGTCGTTATTCATTTGTTTTAAAGCTCAATAAATAACAAAGAAGACCTTTGACCGGCACTTTTATAATTTTGTCCGGAAGATTTAAACTTTAATACACGTTGACTGGCAAAAAACTCTGCCCGGTTCCCTCGGCCCCCACCGCGGAGAATAAACAGAAGGGCAACCATGACAACCATGCTTCTTCGCTGCTTTTGTGGAGGATGCTACAGCGCCACGTACAGGCTCGGCATATGTAGGCCTACTGCAGCTTCTTCAGCGGTTGGAGCTAAACGGAGCTGTCTCGTGTGGACAGAAACTTTCCGGTGTCTATTGCGTGTGGACGGAAGCCTTTTTTGCAATTGCGATTGCGTATGCGTTTTACCGTTATCGTCCTCGTGTGGCCGGGGCCTGAGAAGGCTCTGTCCCCAAAGCTGCAGAGTGTGGATGTGGGAATGGATAGGAGTCCGGCTGCGGTGGATCTGAGAGACCGTGGGGGTTGATAAGGAGTGAGAAGGTTTGTGAGATAAGGGGGGGCCAGATGGTGGAGTGCTTTGTAGGTGAGGACCAGAATGTCGTAGTTGATGCGATGGGAGACAGGAAGCCAGTGGAGGTCTTTGAGGATTGGGGTGATGTGATGCCATGATTTGGTATGCGTGAGGAGACGCGCAGCTGCATTTTGAACCCGTTGGAGTCTGTTGAGGGATGTAGTGCTGTCTGATGCCGTAAAGAAGTGAGTTACTGTTGCAGTAGTCAAGGCGGGAGGAAATGAAGGCATGGATTGTAGTCGTTCGGCTGCGGGGCGGGTGAGAGAGGGTAGGATTTTTGCAATATTGCGGAGGTGGAAAAATGAGGTGGTGATATATGGTGCAATTCCCCAAATCACAAAAGTGCAATGTTTTTCTTATATTTTAAGGAGTGCTATGGATAATCCACTTGATAAAGAACCAATAGAGCAATTTAAAGAATTGCTGCAAACCAATGGAACTGCCGCAACAACTGAAAAGATGAATGCATATTTGGAAGAGCAGGATACAATTCCACTAAACATCGGCATCACAGGAGAGTGTGGCCCTGGTAAATCCACCTTTGTTAACGCCTTTAGAGGCTTAGACAAGAAGGATAAGACATGTGGAATGAAGAACAAAAGGATAGTGAGTTAAACGAAGAAATGTTTCTCACAAAGATCAGGGAAAACTGCATTCAAGGTAAGTGTTATGTCAGGGGCGACATAACAAATTGCTATAAATAAGTTACATAATACTGGATGAGCCTACTAACCCTTGTCTGTCTTTGTAATGCAGGTCTTGAAAAACAAGGTGTTGAGTCTCCAAAGGTCTTTCTGGTGTCCTATCATCTCCAGCTGTATGACTTCCGTCTGTTACAGGAGACCCTAGAGAGAGAGCTTCCTGCACACAAAATAGATACTCTGCTGTTAGCCTCGCCCATTGCCAATCTTGAGATCATCACCAAAAAGAAAGAGGCTCTCCAGTCAAAAATAAAGTTCCTTGCTGCTGCATCTGCATTCGGAGCAGCTGTACCATTTCCTGGGCTCTCTGTTGCTGTCGATATAACCATGGTTACTAATGCCATATATGAGTACAAACATACTTTTAGCCTTGATAGGAAGTCACTGCAGAGTATTTCTGATAGTGCAGGTGTGCCTTTGGATGATCTAATGGCAGAGATGAAATCACCACTGGCTTTAAAAGAAATAAGCGAAGATGCTATCTTTTTCATGCTGTCTGTGTCTTGGTTTCACATTGCTTTAATGGCAGCAGAGGAAGGGGCCAGATTTATTCCATTATTTGGATTATCAGCAGCAGCGGCCCTCTCTTTTACCTCAACCTGCTCTCAATACTTTCCTGAACATTCTCACTGAGGATGCTCAGAGGGTATTCAGAAAGGCCCTGGGCTTAGTGTGATATTGTAAAGGGATTGGCAAAGGCATATAATGTCAAGTATAAAACTTCAGTGTAAAAAATAGATTATTTTTTGAGTATATTGCATTGTATTTTATTTACTTGAAATATATATACTGTAAATCATAGACTTGTATTTGAGCTACACATTGCATCATACTCTCAATCAAATGGCTTCTAACAAGATGTTGTATTCTCTTATTAATGCTGGTATTAATGAAAAAGTCCTCGTGACTTTAAATCAAACATGTATAATAAAGGAAAGAGAGTTAACCTATATGTATAACGAACATAAGTATTTTTGTGATTCATTGCTAATTGGAAACTTTTTTCTAAACATAGTTTGGTAATCTATTTTACACCTTGTACAATTGTGATGCTTCCAGCATTGGGGACTTGATCAGCAGAAGGTATGTCAGAGCCAATCTTCGTAATAACTAGCAAACTAAAGATCATGTACTACATCCACTGCACACATAATCTGAAATAACAACTCATATTTCTCGCATCAAATTACATCAAAACGCATTTTAATGGCCAAACTAACTTTAAAATAGGCATTTTCCACCGAGAATAAAACGAAGTTCGGCCATGTTTTTTTTTTCTGCAGGGAGAAATTTTGAAGATCACGTGAAGTCAAACAGAGCACATGGTGTAGTCCAAACGATAGCTGGGGATTCTGGGTAGTGTAGTGTCTTCTGCCATCCTTTACTCCGAAAAAATATTTGTTTCTCCGAATCGAAGGGGGAAAATACAAAAGCATTGCACACAATTTAAACCAATCAATGTTGTGTAATTAACAAGGATAATCTGGTGTTCTTTAGTCGATGAGTAGTGCAGATATCACTGTAAAATCAATCGACAGTAAGAGGAATACTTACTTCCGGGTGTACAATTCTCCGTTATCCAATGAGAATGGACGCTCACATTATCTTTAAGGGCAGCCGACACAAACGAATGCCGTGCTTCCATGAGCGTCCATAGAAGCATATGGACATCACGGAAAGCTGAAAATGGACGCTAAGGGCCCCCCTCTTGCGTTGAAAATGGACGCTAAGGCCCCCCCTTGCGTTGGAAAAAGCCGACACAGGACTTGACATAACGTCAACATAGGCCGACCTGGGAGTGAGGATGTGTTGTTTGAGCAGCTATAAATAGCATGTGTGCCGATTGAATTTTCGTTTACGGCCATACCACCCTGAACACGCCCGATCGGACTGTAGAATGGACCGGACTGTAGACTGGACCGGACTGTAGAATGGACCGGACTGTAGACTGGACCGGACTGTAGAATGGACCGGACTGTAGAATGGACCGGACTGTAGACTGGACCGGACTGTAGACTGGACCGGACTGTAGACTGGACCGGACTGTAGAATGGACCGGACTGTAGAATGGACCGGACTGTAGAATGGACCGACTGTAGACTGGACCGGACTGTAGAATGGACCGGACTGTAGAATGGACCGGACTGTAGAATGGACCGGACTGTAGACTGGACCGGACTGTAGAATGGACCGGACTGTAGAATGGACCGGACTGTAGACTGGACCGGACTGTAGAATGGACCGGACTGTAGACTGGACCGGACTGTAGAATGGACCGGACTGTAGACTGGACCGGACTGTAGAATGGACCGGACTGTAGAATGGACCGGACTGTAGAATGGACCGGACTGTAGAATGGACCGGACTGTAGAATGGACCGGACTGTAGAATGGACCGGACTGTAGAATGGACCGGACTGTAGAATGGACCGGACTGTAGACTGGATCAGACTATAGACTGGACCGGAATGTAGCCGGGCTCGGTCTATGTGCTGGATGGAAAGTATTTTGTGTCAATGAGCTTTTGCAGAAAGAAATTCAAATAAATCCTTTATTTATAAAAAAAAAAAAAAAAAAAAAAACACGCCCGATCTCGTCCGATCTCGGAAGCTAAGCAGGGTCGGGCCGGGTCAGTACTTGGATGGGAGACCGCCTGGGAATACCCGGTGCCGTAAGCTTTTACTTTATTCCTTTGTCAGCACACGGCGCTGCCCTTTCAATTGACACAGCTGTACACAGACTGAGGAGGACAATGCGCAGTTAACTATTGCTCTAATAGACCATTTGCTCAAATATTCATATTTTAACAACTATTTCAATGTCAAACTAAAAAAGGACCACTGTCAATCAACAGGGTGTAGGGGGCGGCTTCGGAGAGAAGCAGTGCCGTGAGTGGCTCTGTCCTTTGTGATGCTGTGACTTAGCTCCAATCTCACAATGGAAATGGAATATCACCAGTGGCGTTTTTACATGTACAAAAGTGGTGGGGCACACAAAACTTAGATGTCTATATATAAGCTTCTGCAGTGAGGTTCATGGCTGGTGAGGCTCTGACACTTCAGGTTTACAAATATTATATTTTGACCTAAATCAAAATATAATATTATTTTCAAAAGCTTTTTTTGTCTGATGCTTCAATTAATTTTAAACAGACAGTTCAACAAAAGGATACCCAAAAATGTAATTTTATCATTTAAATATTGAATTGTTCTCTCTTAGTAAGATCCCATTTTCAATCAAATTGCAGTCTTACCTTGACATGAAGATGAAGTCCATTTGCCTATCCTTCTGGACAAAAATCTCTATTACTTTTTTGTAAAAGTCCTCCTTATGTTCTTGTAGTTTCAAAAGTCTATCATAAATCTGATCTAATCAATAGATTTATGATTCGAAAATTATAAAAGTAGGGTAGACATGTGGATATTATCCGGCTGAACAAAACGTGCATTTATCTAACAGGTTTGTTTCCCACAGATCTTATTTGGAGCTATTTTCTAAAATCCTATGGAGAAATATCATTGCTTTTTTGTGGAGGGAAGCCATGCGCAGTTTATTTCTGGGTTTTAGGACGCCTCACTGCAGCTCTCTCTCCTCCTCTTCACACACCACCCTTTTCGCGGCACACGTACTTACAGCCAATCAGCTCTGAATGATGTGAGATGACGTATGGTGGGGATGGCAGCACTATGCCCCTATGGTCATTATTTTTTTGCCACACACATTAAATAGGACAATACTCTGAGCATGCGCAGTGTAGTTTTTACAGTCACCATTGACTTAAACAGGGAGAGGGAGGGGCAGGATCGGGTTTTGTCCCACATGGCTCTAAACAGCTCAATAGGCACACACTGTAGACACTAATTAGAAGAACACAGACTAAAACAGCAATGTACAGACGAATCAGATGATTAAACATGATCTTAAAATATATTTTATATATTTTTTAATTTATTTTTTGCATTTTTTTGTAATCATTACTTTTAATACTTTCTGCTGACACTAGGTGGGGCTGTGCCGCACCTGCCCCTAATGACCAGTCGCCACTGAATATCACCATTGGATTTATAGCTGCTTAAACACCGCTGATAACGCAGCCTTCTTCCACAGGTAAAATCCAATGTATCCTCTTTTACTCAAGCTTGGAGCCTAAACTACAGGCAAGAGAAAGCCATGAGAAAGATTTGAAATATGATCATTTCAAGTACAGACAAGTTTAAAAAAAGTACAACCAAAATCAATACACTGAGCAAAAGCGCCCTAGAAAGGGATGAAAAGTCCTTAGCTTAGTTCCCCCTTTCAGAAGAGACCACGGTTTGGGCGGATGTTACTTAAATGGCAGCCGATTCCAGCACTTTGCAACAAGAAAAAAGCTTGAATTGAACTTTCAGCCAAACACCAAACAAGCGTTCACAGCAAGACTGAGACGCCGTATTTGATATGAATGCATTGTTGATAAAAGTCATGATTGAAGAGCACCACTTTTTGTGTTTTGCAAAATGTCCACGCAATGTGCCAGCAAACATGGAGCTCCAAACAGGTGATTTCCAGGAGTAAAAGAGGATCCATTGTATTTGAGCTGTACGTGAGAAGGTGGAGGGTTATCAGCGGCGGCGTTTGAGCAGCTATAAATAGCATGTGTGCCGATTGAATTTTCGTTTACGGCCATACCACCCTGAACACGCCCGATCTCGTCCGATCTCGGAAGCTAAGCAGGGTCGGGCCGGGTCAGTACTTGGATGGGAGACCGCCTGGGAATACCCGGTGCCGTAAGCTTTTACTTTATTCCTTTGTCAGCACACGGCGCTGCCCTTTCAATTGACACAGCTGTACACAGACTGAGGAGGACAATGCGCAGTTAACTATTGCTCTAATAGACCATTTGCTCAAATATTCATATTTTAACAACTATTTCAATGTCAAACTAAAAAAGGACCACTGTCAATCAACAGGGTGTAGGGGGCGGCTTCGGAGAGAAGCAGTGCCGTGAGTGGCTCTGTCCTTTGTGATGCTGTGACTTAGCTCCAATCTCACAATGGAAATGGAATATCACCAGTGGCGTTTTTATATGTACAAAAGTGGTGGGGCACACAAAACTTAGATGTCTATATATAAGCTTCTGCAGTGAGGTTCATGGCTGGTGAGGCTCTGACTCTTCAGGTTTACAAATATTATATTTTGACCTAAATCAAAATATAATATTATTTTCAAAAGCTTTTTTTGTCTGATGCTTCAATTAATTTTAAACAGACAGTTCAACAAAAGGATACCCAAAAATGTAATTTTATCATTTAAATATTGAATTGTTCTCTCTTAGTAAGATCCCATTTTCAATCAAATTGCAGTCTTACCTT